CACTGTTCCAGCTCCTAAGAGTTACATCTGTTAAAGGACACTTCCAAAAACATGTTATTAAAAGATGCTGAACTCCTCCAGACAACCAAAGCAACACATTATGACCTGCTTGCCAACTCCATACAAACAAAACAATGCACCAAAGTCTGTTCTGCTCCAAGGGATACTGAATGCAGTGACATTAAACACCAATCATGTGGGCTAAAGGAAAAGATGGAAATTTAATCAAAAGTTGATGGCTAGGACTAGCAATTTTGCAAGACTTGGATGCCTTAAAAACATGTTCAAAAATGGGTCTGCAGTGTCCTCAATGCTAAATTCCTGGTGCTGCACCCTTGCTTTTGTTGCTGGCGTCTTCATCTGCACACAGCTCACTGAGGGCTCCATTTGTGATAAAGAAAACTGCACCTGAGCCTGGGCAGGCGGGTCCCTGCTGCCCTTCCTGCCACTGAACAGTTGCTCAAGAACAAACATTTCTACCTGCAAATGTGGTGTGACTCTGGCAGTAATTCCCTACAGGAAGGTGAAAAACAGGATGCATGCAAAGAATAGTGGCCAGCCAACAGACAGAATCCGGGCTGTTTTTCAATCTCTTTCCATCCAATGGACTCTACAGCATAATGGATAGCTGTCACTGCACCACAGATGAGTTACAACTCGTAGCTACTGATGTGCTCTTTTCCTGTGTCCTGTCACATTCGTCATCTGCTTTGGCTATTTGCCTTCCAGACTAGGCTCATCTTTGGTACAGTCTATAGTAAGACATGCTGAATGCCAGCTTCATCTCAATGAGTAACTAAACTTCCAAGGAAACACAGCTAACTTGGATGGTGTAAAAACCAGCAGGGGCTCCTGCAAAACTGCCTTGCACAAAGGGACATTAACCACAAAACTGATCAGAAAAATGTAATTCTGTGCCCCAACCCCATCCTTTCAGATAACAGATATGCCGATATCTTTAAAACAGTGGCCAGTCTCAAGACCTTAATTTGCTTGCAGGAGAGAAATCTGCAACAGTTAAAAACTGTCGACCTTGGAAATTAGAGTAAAAAAGCCTCCTACCAAATTACAGTGCCAAAAGGTATCTCAGTAGAGCAATGGGAGGAACAGGAATAGAGTTTGGACAGGAAAGCATCATTAGGAACCCATCTTATCCCTTTGCTTCTACACCAGTCACCTGCATCTAACAAAGGCTGGACTCCTTTAACATCTCCCACCTGAAATGGCTCCATGTGACAACTGATGGTATCAGAGCCAGCAGTGTTATAACAGAAAGTTGCACACATACCCCTGACTAAATCTGGAAATTCAGATACTGAAAGCACTTTCTTTCCTTCCCTCTACTGGGCCTCCTCTCCTGTTTCAAGGGTTGCTTGTTCCAGAGTGAAGTCTCATAACTGGGCTGCAATTCTTTATTTCCATTCACTGCTCACAAATTCAGCTGTTTTCAAAATACATGAGCTGTTACTAAGACTGGGCTAAAAAGAGAAATCCCCAATCCAGGACACAGAAGTATTCAGGCTGCAGAGAGCACTTTGAATGATTCTGAGAGTACTTCTTCCCTCAGAGTCTTACCTTGCATATAGGACCTAAGAAAGTTGTGCAGAGGGATGTTACAGGGAAGATTAGGCAGATATTCTTCCCTGTGACACGGCACTGTCCACAAGTCTGGAAAGAAGGCACTAGAAAACTGTAGAGATTGGTTTTTTATTTTTCCAAAAGCCCAAGTTCTCCTTCATCATCATCTTGCCTCATCTCCACAGAAATGTGACTTCTGGTCCATTAGTGACATCACAGCTGTAAGGGATACTGACCCTTCCTTCCCTGCATCCTCTATCAATACTCTTAGAGACAACTGTTACTGTTCAGCTGCTGAACATGGATGGTTACTAGGAATGCTAGAGAGCAGCCTCCCAATTTTTCCCTTCGAAGAACATCACTGTACCGCTATCTTTTTCTCCTGAATCTTGGGGGCTGTAGGGAAACAGCAGATTCTTCCCTAGAGACAGCTCTGGCAGCTGCTATATGTGCCCTCCAGGAAGGGAAAGATAAGCAGAACTAGAAGACTTTTGCCTTCATTAGAAATCTTCAGAAGTGTAGTTATAAAATATACAAATTATTTTTTTTTATTAAAATGCTGAGAAAAATATGGAGGTGTACTCCATCTCTGACAGAAACTCTTCCTAATGTGTTTAAGATGATTTTGGAGCCCAGTACGACTTACTCAACTCCCTTGCACCAACTGGGATAGTAGATCCAAAGCAGATGAGGGCAAACATTCAGGAGACCAAGGAGCTTGCCCGGATCTCAGCGCCAGGCAGGTGCAAAGCACAGAAGAGCACAGCAGCAGTGACCCGGTGATCGCTGATCTCCACGACCAGCCCATGTCCAGGCTGCAGTGCCCAAGCCAGGAAGCAGTGTAGGGGTGAGCTCATCAGCCTGTGCTTATCAGACTGGCCCGTGCACCACCAGCTAAACTAAGGGGGTCAGTGCAGGGGAAAGAAGCACACAGCGGCAGCCTCTCTCCCAAGGATTCCACCCTTGAGGCTTTTGAGGTGACCCGGTCACTGCATTGCACGTTCTCCCTTCTCAACATTACCATCGCAGCAGGGCAGCCTCCGAAGCACCGCGTCTGGAAAAATACTGGAGTGATGACAACATGGGATGAGAGCGGCAGAGAGATGATGATGTGATGTCTGACTCCAAACCTAGATTTTGCAGAGCACCTAGAGGTACATACACAGTGATAAACCAAGTTGTCTAGACAGGGAAAGAGTGGATTGGAGAAGCAACCAAGGTGATACGGCAAAATATAAGGAAAACGACCCAGAAAAATAAAAGAGGACAGTGGTCAAGACATAGCTGTCTGTTTACATCATGCACCACTGGGAATGCAGTCCAGACAAGTTACAGAGGTTTTCCAGATCTAATGCTAAACAAAATTACAACCTCTCTCCAAATCTGGCCTCAATACAAATATACCCCACCCCAAGATCTCATCACACTAAACAAAGCAGAGTTTTACAAGTACTCCATTTCTGTAGCTGGCACAACAGTGCAATTCCAATTAATAGGAAATGCAGATGTGCAAAAGGAACTGTCTACACCCTGATCATCACAGCACAGGTCAGTATTATCATTACTGAACTATTATTAATGTTTTCACTATACTGTACAAGTAATATCAAAATATTGTATCATGACTATCCAACTACTATTTAATTGTTGATACCCAGTACTTAAATTCAAAGGAAGATAAAAAAGACAAAGGAAAGCAAAACGTTACATGACACCAACAGATTCTTGACCACAGCTCTTGAATTTGAGCTTTTAAGTGAGGTACATGAAGACATGGATTGCAGGACCAATCCCTCTTGACAAAGATAGATAAATGAGTGTAAAAGCCAGGAACCTTCTCCTCAGTATTGCAATTTGCTAACTTTCTCCCACTACTAAGACATTACACAGTGATAAATTTGTTTTAATTTCTATTTTACTTCTAACAGGCTGTGAAATAGCAAAAGGAAATGTGTAGTAACAAAGCATTTCTCTGAAAAAAGGAAAACACACTTTTAGAGTAATACAAAGAATGGTTATCTGTGGTAGACACTGAGTAAGAAATATTCTTAGGCTACCATATGTGTGTGTGTGCTTGGGACAAGGATAAAAACATGTGGGGCCAGTTAAGAGCAGAAAAAAGACCAGGGGGGGGAAAAAAAAAGAAAAAAAGAAAAAAAAAAAAAGAAAAAAAAAGACTATGAAGGCAGGAGGAGCAAACTTGAGGCAGCAGAACAGAGAACACTGCTGAACAGCCACAAAAAAATAAGAGAACTGAAATACATACAGGGCCTGAAAGCAGCTTAGCACAATGGGATATATGAAACTAAGAAGGAATTTAGAAAATTCTCAGCTGTTCTACCTTTTAAGCATGAAATATTAAGGCAGAAAAGCACTTAAGGAAGCATTAGCATATGCATCAGCACACAAACAGGCACTGAAGCACAAGAGATGAAATGGCCATTACTGCGTTGGGGCAGCCATTCCACCTGCTCACAGAGGAACAGGTGACACACAGATCTGCAAAATCAGATCACACTGCCAGAGGAACAGTGTGACGAGATCTGCAAAAAATCCAACCATAAACTGCAGCTACTGGAGCAAAGGCATAGCTGCAGAAAGGCTACCAGCCACATTGCTAGGTTACATTCACATGTAAATTACTAGAACAAGCACACAGAAAACAGGAATTAAATGTACATGAAATGAATATCCATTAAAGGAACAGGAAGAATGTTAATGATAAGAGGTGTTTACTGATAATGTACCAACTCAGCATCTTGCTCCCCTTTTTTGCTTCACTTTTACAAATTTTGTACAAATTTCAAGTAGGCACATCATGGAAATGCCATCAGTGTGTGTCTAATACTTTACAGTGCTTCACTAACAACAAACCAAGAGAGCCATGTGCAAGATCTATAATACATGGTAAGATTTGCTGTCCGCAGAAACAATCGATAGTAAGAATGTCCATGTCTATAGCAAGCCCTGTCACTGTGGCTTCAAAATGCAAAGGCACATTAGCTCTGGCAGGTTAACCAAGTTGCTTCTCTTTTTCTCTAGCAGTCACCAAGGTGACCATGAAGTATTAGCATCATCAGTATGGTGACTTCACTTTTGAAACTCAGGAGACTTGTATCCTCAGTGACTTAGGTGAACTTGTAACCTTGTAATATGACTGATAAAACCAAAGTCCTGATGCTAAAGTTTCTAAGGCATTTGGGAAGATTATTCATGTCAATATAAAGCATTTAGAACTCTTAGGAATTAAATTCCTGGAGGAAAAAAAAAGGTTAATAAAGTGAAGAACATCCAATAGGTTTTACTCTTCTGGCTTAGCTGCAGCTTTGATACAGTATCAACAGATTTCTCAAGTTAACCAGCCCTTCAAGAAGGGGGAGAGGGTGCAAAAGGTACCAAAAAGAATCTCACACTCTCATGAATTACAATTCAACTTTTTTATTCAATTCTCCAAGTTAGTGGGACAGGGATCATCATGACTGTTATCACCACATGTGGACATCACTCCATTGCACACCCCTGCTGATCCATCCTTTCTTCCCCCCTTCTTTATGAAGGAGACATTATCAAAAGGCTAAGTGTTCCCATGAGAGGCAAGAGAAGACCTGTTGCTGCTGTAGAAAAACCTAAAGAAATAAATCAGTGAAAAAGTTAGTCTTTGCCCCAAAATATGAGTATCAGAAATGCAAGCAGACATCATAAAATAAAATCTCTGTATCCAGCACCCATCTGGCTTCTCTGATAGCTGCAAGACAGACACACCAAGGACTAAGCCATGGGTACCAAACTCCTCTTCTGACCTTGGAAAACACCTTTCCAGGTCAAGGAGTGAGATGCAGTGTGGGTTGTTTTCTGGAGATAAAATCTAGCTCCTGTTACCTTTCCAGTGGGTAGAATTCAATCTCTGCACCTGGTGATCCAGCATCTTCCACACGCCTTAGATTCCTGTGGAAATATTTCATGTGGAGGAAAAATTGCGTAAAAGTTTAGCAAAGTCAAACTGCAGGTTTTTCCTGCCTAGTTCTCCCACTGATAAAACTTCAGTACTTGCCATCCAGTAAACAACCATTTCCATCTGGGCATGGACAAGCATTCCTATATCCATTACAACTGCACTACCCCTCCCATACAATGTTGTAAAGGTTGGTGGGCAGGGTAACCTTAACATTTGTGTTCTTTCTGTTGCCTTGTGTTGGTTAGATGCATGGGAAAATATACACACAACCACATGGAGTTTCCTCCCAAAACTCACAAAATGCAAGTTTCAGGCCTAATGCACAATACCACTGAACAGAAAGAATCCAGAGAATAAAGACAACCAGGCAGTGCTCTGCACAGTAGCAGCAAGGAGGGAAAACTGCACACATCCTCTTGGACAAACCACACTTGTTGTAAATGAAATATTTACCAATCTGAAATATATACTGCTGCACAGTCAGTGTGACATTCCCATTCTTCATGAAGGTGTAACTGAAACATTCATCTGGACTCCTGGCCTCCCACTACATTGGTATGACAGAACCAAAAGGATAATTGTGCATACAGCTACTGCTTAGGCTTCTTTCTCTGCTTCAGAGCACCTTCCCGTTCAGTACATGTAACACCATGGACAGTTCTCACCTCTTCAGCTCCTCTCTCCCCAAAATGTAACTATTTTACAACACAGATAAACTAAGCATCAAGGAAACTCAGCAGTGTCACTGGTTCCGGGAAATCTGCATAGAAGAAGGACATGGCTGGCCAAAGAGGTAGCAACAACTGGGTTACTGGCTTATGTAACATGTCCCTCCCTGTCCAACAACAAATGATAATTTGCACAAGAGGGATTGCCCTAATAAATTCAGGAAATTAGCACATATGCCTGGAAATTTACAAATGTGATAAATTAATTAATTATTTAATTTTATATATTACAACAGTGAATGAGGTTCACATTGAACATGAGGAGGAATTTGTTCACAGGACTGTCAAGCATTGGCATGGTCTGCCCAGGGAGGTGATGGAGTCACCATCCCTGAGGTGTTTGAGAAAAGACTGCATGTGGCACTCAGTGCCATGGTCTACCTGACAAGATGGTGTTTGTTCAAAGGCTGGGACTTGATGGTTTCAGAGGTCTGTTCCAACCTAACTGATACTGTGATTCTGTGAAATCAGATTCTTGCTACTAGAAAACTTTATTAAAAAAAATTCCAATGACCTTTCAATAAAATATTTATTTTTCATTCCTGTATTAAAAACCTCAATTATATTGTAATTTGTCTAACACAAAAATGCTTTTTCTTAGCTGTTCTGCTTCCTATAGAAATGGATAACAGTATTATATATTTAACTGCCCACAGTTCCCTCCTTCCAAATAAGCAAAGGTATCTATTACCTTAAGACAGAATACTGTACATAGCTGCATACAGCAACCTGCCTCCAAATAAAAAAGCAGACACAGAAATTCACATAAATCTTTTATAAGCCCTTCATGCACAGACTTGGCAGAGCTTAATACAGACATATTACTATGCAGACTGTATATTCTAGTAACTCTTGTACTGTTTCTAAAGGGAACAAAGGAGAGGCTCAGAAATACCTTGAAAATGCCTTGCATGGGTGCAATGTGAATTTTAATTTTTTTATCAGCCTAATCCATCACCTACTATTCAGTCAGCATGAGGAACCTGTTCATTTCCTCCTTTCACAAATATCACCCCTTGCCTGCCTGTAAAAGTCTATGACAAGAATGGAAAATAATCTATCTTCAAATCTCTACCACATCAAAGCAGCAGAAAACAGGATGCTTTGGGGTATGTCACATCTAAAAGACAAAAAAAACAAAACCAGAACTCTTTTGTACTGACAGACACATGGAGAACCATGGAGGATCTGAAAGTGTTCTAAATGCCTTCCTGTTTACAAAAAAAAAAAAAAAATCTTTCCTGACCAGTGACTAAGTCACCTTGGTCTCTGCTCATCAAAAAGCTCACATACATTTATGTGCCTCTCTCCTACTGCACTGAGAAGCAGCAGTTACAGGCCCATGTCCAGGGCCAGAGGAACACCCTCCTTCTCAAATGCTACTGTCATGTAAACTCAGTGCAGTAAGACCTTTAATCCACATGACCCCCCATGCAAGTAGGCAGGTGCTACAGTTAGTTTGTGCATCAATGGAACTTTCAGCTCTTCTCCCCAAGATCCAGTTCCCAAAGGCCAGTATGCCTAGCATGTATTACGTACGGAAAGTCTGGTGAGATTCCTCCTTACAGCAACAGCTGGGAATGCTCAAGATCAACAAAAGCTGTTTTCCTGCCTCATTTCTATCTCTGATGACAGACTGACATAGGCTTCAGATTCCTTTGCTTCTACTATCAGAAATTATTTCTCTTCATCACATCTCCAGCCTAATTGGATTTAAAACCCTTTCTCTATGAGCTTCATCTCACATACAGACTTTGCTCATTATTATATTCAACAAGATTCCAATCAACTCTCTATCCAAAATATTTTCCATTTTGCACATGCAATCTCATTTCACTCTGTAAAAATTCAGTTCTGGGATTTCCAGCCTGTGGTACACAGAATACTTTCAAAGGCTGTACAGTAACTAAGAAGCTAAAGAGAAAAGCACACCAGTTGTCCACGGTCCTAAGTGGTACCTGATGTGCACTGGAGACTATTTAACTGCTTAGATATCAAAATTCAGATCCAGCTTAGCTCCTGTATGTAAGTGTTGCTCCTGATTTTAGTGTGACTACCCCAGGTAACAAGAGAAAACAGAATTTGGAATTTATCAACTAATAGTTAGCTGTAAATGAAGTAGAAATATTTACGAAAATACAAAAGCTACTACTGTACTCTGCATATTAGTATATATGCTGACACAATTCCTTTTTCCCAATCCACTTGGACACGTTTCTCCATATTATCAGCTGATCCAGATTCAAACTTCTCTTATGTCAAGCAGTTCATCAGTGCTTCTTCCAGTACTCTCTCTCCTCTTATTTTCTTTTCAGAAGGAACAGTCATCCTACCAGAGAGTCAACATTTTAGTCTCTAGCAGGAGAATTACTTAGCGTGGAGGTTTTGTTAGAGTGGAACATCCTGATGACATCTGCAACAATAAGTATTTATGGTGTCTACATCAGTGGTCCCCATACAGGAGTCCACACTCCCCAGGAAGCTTTGCAAGACAATCTGTAAGGCTGCAGGGTGAAAATGGTTTTTTCACCATCACGGAATATAGTAAATGTTTCAAAAATAATCTTCATTTAATCTTTACCTCATCCTTTTTTAACTTATTGGGTTTATGTAAGTTTTACAATGTATGTAGTAATACATGTATGTATGTAACTTGGGAAAATTATTTATTGGGGTGCATGCTCAAAATGTTTTTTCTGATAGGAATGTGCAATCAAAGAAGTTTCAGAGCCATTTAGAGCTGAGGAGGTGGCTGAAACTACCAACTGTTAACCACAAACTCAGAAGCATTATATAACTTGCATTTCCCACTTCCAAAAAGAATTTTAACTGTTGGTGATTCAAACCTGTTTTTGCTACCTTGAGATTTAGGAAATCTCCATAAACAACACTGTTCTTTATTATCATGGCATTTCTAAGGCATACATATATGTACAAACATGTTGCTCTTAAGTAGAAAAAAAAGCAGTTGGGCTCTCAGCCTATGTGGCTGAGATGGTAAGGATGATGGTAAAGATGTTTTTTACCTTCATAAAAAAAATTCCGTAGGATTGCAGAATCTTCCTCATTTATTCCTTGGTTTTTAAACTAGGTTACAATAAACATTTCACCAATGGCACAAATATGAACAGTCTTCTGTGGAGCAGAGAACAACTGGGCTAGATGTATTCCTTTCAGCCTTATTTTCCAGTATTCTAAATAGGTAGTGATTTTGGTGAAATTTAATTTTTTAAGACAAATATTGTGCCTTATAAAGGCAGAGGGGAAACTGGAATGTTCAGTCAAAGATGACAATTAAGGCATCAGGTAACCAAACACCAACTGAGACAGATCAATGTGCCTCTTGTACTACAAGCAGTCTTTTGATGGTCAGAATTCTGTAAATCAGACTCACCATTCAAAGGGACAGCTCAGGGACTCTGCCTCTCTTCATCACTCCCCTTACTCCAGTTAGTACTGTGCAATCCATTTCTCCCAGTACTGGAGGTTTCTCAGGTCACAGTCATGAGTTTCTTCTGCTGCTGCTGCTGTCACCTACCAGTTTTATTATTCTGTTGCAGCAGAAGGGCATATAGAAGAAGTTCTAGTTCAGCATGCACATAATCATCATCCCTTGTCTAAGAAGTCATGGCCTATTCAAGTTCTACATTTCCCCGTACACTAGGCAAAGCACTGGGCACAACCAAGATCAACACAAGGCTTTGAAAGCCATTCCATAAAGAGGGAGCAGCATGATACCTTTCAAGCTACAGTAAATATTAAAACACTAACTATTACAAAATGCAGTAAATTTTGGTAAACTCTCCCCACCAAAGATGAACTGCAGACTCTGCAAAGAACTAGTACTGTATTTCTTTCAAGAAAATTTTCACATAGTATGTATCTAAAGTCAGGTTAGAGATGCAAAACTGTGATCCAACATGAATTAATTAATAAATCTGAGGAAAAGAAATTTTTAATTTTAGACATTATTACAAACCCCAAAAAGACACCCAACCACATGCCTGAAAGTGTTACACCCGCGTCCTATAGCAGCTGATGCACAAAAATATACACAAATAAAGGAATAGGGCTGCCCAATGCTGAGACGCAAGAAGTGGGTGTGTCTGAAAGGAAAAAGCATTGGAAATATAAGTATAACAGGTTTGTAAAATTACCTTGCAAGTAAAATTAAAAGACACAAATTATACACTCAATTATACCAGTGAAATCAGGTATCACTCGACTGACTTTCACAGAGTGATTCCAGGTTTATTTCAGTGTAATTGAGAGCAAAATTTGGCTCTAAAATTATTCCCTACTACCTTAATTTGAAGCTACAATTTATTATATTGCTGGTAAGTTTGCTTTTTTTCAGGAAAATATAAACTGAGACTATGAAAAATTGACTATTTTATGATGGTACAGAGGAGTAATTAATGTACACAGAAAAATAATCTGAAACAAGTGCTAATCCTTTACAGATGTCATGGGAAATATAATACTGCATTAGGAAAGTTGAAAGCCTGTTTTTAGGCTAATATTCCTCAACTTGGAAGGGTATTCCAATTGTCTAATATTTTACCTCTGAGTAAAACACAAGATTCTCCCCCTTAAATTAAGTAAAAAAAATATTAAGTACCCAGTACTTTTACATGGTTTGAGATTAAGGGTGAGAGTTACCAGAGAAGGATAAAATGTACAAGTGCTTTGATACAGCAGTAAGGGCAAGATAAAATGTGTCACCCCATCCTCCACAAACAGAAATGATCAGCTCAACAGCCTTTTTCTGCAGCACACATATTCGTCCATCTGTCCTCTTTACAGGACCCTGCTCTATTGAATTTTAATAGAATTAACATTCTTAGTACTAGTTTTTCATTCCTATGAACTACTTACTTCTGCAGTTATATTTTATGTTCATTTAGCAAATGGAAAGCAATGTATCTTTCAAAAATCTAAGCTAAAACAGTACACTTGAAGACAATCTAAAACTGATAAAGAGGAAGGGGAATTGGTGTATTACAAAACTATCCCTCATACAGTTGCATGGTGGACTCACTTTTGTCTCACTTGAGTAAAGTAAAGCACAATGACAGTTTTCTTAAAAGTCAACAGTATAAGGAGGAGAAATAAGGAAGTAAAGCAGGGTTTTCTCTAAATCCGGTTAAAGAAATCATTCAACAAGTATCACCAAAATGAACTGATGGGAAGAAAGGAAGGCAGACAAGTTAGCAAACTTATGAAGGTTAGAGTAAGAGCAGAAAAGTGTCAATTTACCTGACAATAGGTCGGTTTTGGATGCCACCAAACTGCTGCATTTACCATTTTACCCGCTTGCATTACTGGGGGGAAAAGTTTAGGAAGGAACATTCGCAAGGATTTTTCATAAGTTCTCACTCGTGCCATCGGAAAGGGGAGAAGGGGTTTTCTCTGGATTGTTTGACTTTTTTGGCTCCTGAAAAGTTTTGCAAAGAACAGTAACAAAGTGTGAACTGTTAGAACACATTTCTGTAAAAAAAGGGAGAATAAGTCACCCAAAACAGCACAACAACAAATCCCACCCAAAATCCACACAGTTAATTTGTGTCATTGTTTTAAACAAATAAACAAAACAAAAGCTTTTCAACTCAAATTAGAAACATGGGAGGCCTGGAGACTTCCAACAGCAGATCCACCATCAGAATGCTCCAAAAGTCACCCTCAAAGGTTAAGAAAGATTTAAAGAAATAAAACAAAGGAAAAGGCAGCAAACATCTGGTTACAAATACTGCAGTGTTCAGTTTAAAACAATTCCTAAAACAGTGAAAAAATTAAAAATTAAAAAAGGCAGTAGCAACAGAAGTTACCTGTCCGAGCACCTACTATTCCATAGAGAGAACAGGAGTGGGTCGTGTGTCTCACACCAGCCATAAAGCCCATAAACCTTCTCAAAAAGAGTGAGCCATGAGAAAGATACTGTACGATCTGTTTTCAAAGTCTCTCTAAGCCCTTATGGTCCCTTATGTATTTAACTGACAGGTTTTTGCAATGAGGGAATCTAGCGAGTGTCACTGGTTTCATTTGTTGGATTGTGCAGTCCGGTATAACATCTGAAGATGTATCTCCTTTGCGTCTGACATACCCAGATGTTCCAGAGGTTATTTCCCGAGTAAATATCACACAGCAAAGATAGCACACGAAGTGGGAGAAAGTCAGCTCAGAACAAAAAATGTAACAGTCAATGTAAACATCAAGCATTGACACTGTGTTACAGATAAGGTGTTGTAACATTACAATAAAAGATTTTATAAAACACATTAAAGCATTAAATACAAGGATTAAGATACAATCCATACATTGACAGCAAGACATCAATTACAAACACAGTATGCTGAACAGAATAAAATCTCCAGCGTTACAGAGAACAAAATTCCATCAGATGTAGTTTAAAAAACTTATTCTTGCAAGCGAGTTTCTAACTGGCTCTTTCAAACATCAAAATATACAAAAATAGTTGTATTACCATCAGCTGTATTGGCACCACTGTAATCCACCACTATGTTGACCATTTTTTCAGCACATGCTTCCAAACCCACATAAGGAGGTAGTGTTAGTGCAACTGTATGGAAGTTTAGCATGTGATTTTCAGCACACTGAACTGAAGAAAATAAAATGTATAAAGCTGATGTCTGTGGAGTTCACCTTCAATGGGAAACACTGCCTGGTTACCACGGACTAGCTTTGTTGGTGTTTTTCCCTTTGAGTAAAAACAAGATACCCCCCCTTGCATCCCCAGGCCGTTCTTTGCATTTCACTGTTTCAGGAGCAATGGGTAAGTAGGGAATAAATACATGAGACAAGTGTGCCCATTTGTACAAATGAACCCTCAAGCAAGGTTTTCACGCAGCATCAATACTGGATATCCAAACACACATACATGATGTTTCAAATCCTGTCTCCCTTTGTGACCACTATGCATAGACTTATCTCCAAACTACTAATGGAAGCACCAACCAGAGGAGCAACTTATCAGAAGGGAGTCAAACTGCAATTCTCTCAACCCACTTGGTGTTTTTTAAAAAAATCTTATGTTTACTTCATGAATTTTACAACTGTGAGGTGTAACCTAGACATTCTGAAAGGGTGCTAAAAATGTAAGGTTCCTGTAAGCTAAAAGATACTATGGGGACTCAAAAAAACAATCCAGAATACTCTGTTAACTTTCATCTAAAAGATGTTTCCTGTGATAGAAACACGAAGGCCTTTATTCCACGTGTGCTTAACGTATGTCACAGCTAGAAAGGGAAGGATTGATCCTATCAGCCTGTCAAGGAATGCAGGCACCTACCAGTGAAAAGGAAGAGACAAAAAAAGGAAAAACAACAACAACAAAAAAAGAGCCACCCTCCACCCCAAATTTCCCTTAGATAAACAAGCAAGGGAAGTAGAGCTCTTGCAAGAGACAGTTTACTGCTCAGTGACTAGAGAATTAGGTTACTTTCATGTTCTGTCATTCTGTAACTCTTCACAGAAGTTGAAGACCTTTATATTCTTCAGGTATAACCTGTGCACTTGAAGGCTCAGTAAGAAGAAAATACCTTTAAAAATACCTTTACTGCTGAAGATCATTTTTTTGCTGGACCAGCTGGTCCACCCTCCTGCTTAACACCAACAGTCAACCTTTCACTTGATTTTAATAATAATATTTAATTCTACAAAAAAAAAAAAAAAGCCATTTTATTACATTCCTTTTAAAATAAAAAAAACAAACTGTACAAAGAAGCATGATCAAACCTCCATAAAGTAGGTTAATACTGTTCTGTTTATTGCCTCTTGAAGACTCTCTGCATAGTGTCCGTGAGTTGTGTTTAAGGTCCAAGTGAAGGTAAAACAGCAGAGCAGCAGAGAGGTGAGGAAGGGCCACAGAGGTGGGTAGTGCAGAACCTCAGAGGGTACATGGGACATGCTCCATTAAAGTATCCAGAAAACAGCAGCATTGCACACACACAACCCCCCTCCAAACAAACCTAGTTTCACAAGATGATTTTTCAATTGTAAACGTTTTACTTTGTTTTTAAAAAAGAGGCTTATCTTTATATATATATTTATATATATATATATAGTTCCAGGGCTTTATGAACCCCAAGAATAAGAGGGGAATGAAAAGGGAGAAGGAGGAGGAAAAGGAGGAGGAAGACAGGGACTGAAAAATGGACTCAGTATCTGTTTTGGTTATCTGTTTTCCAAACCAGCTCAAGGCTAATGACAAAATGCACAGCCAGAAGGATTAAGGAAAATCAGGAAGTCTGGAAAAAAATTAGGAGCTAAACAGCCAACACCCTCAAAAAAATAAAGCAAAACAATTGTGCACACACAAACACACAGGAGTGTGCGCACTCACACCACACACATGTAAGGACCTAGGATCAATCCCTTAATTGTTTGTGGACCTAGGTTGTTTTTGTTGGTTTTTTTTTTTCCTTTTTTAAAACTGTGGCTGGGCTCTTTTTTTTTTTTTTTTTTCCTTTTTTTTTTTTTTTTTTTTTTTTTTTTTTTTTTTTTTTTTTTTTTTTGCCTTTTTCAAATCTGCCACGTTTTCCAAAGCTAAGAACTGAATATTTCTCCCCAGTTATACTCTTTGGATTTATGCCAACATCGGTTTTTTATGTTCAGTGGGGAAAAAGTAAGCCTGGTAAGTATTGTATGAACTGCAGCTTTATTCTAAAATTCCTCTGGATGACTAATCACTTTTAACCAGCACCTCCCTCCTCCACACCTTACCACATTCCTCCCTCCAAAAAAAAGCAAACAAAACAAACAAACAACCCCCCCACCAATGTACAGGCTATAACTCAGTGTTTTCTTAACAAACAGTCTGCGGTGTTTTCACTTTGGCCACTGTTAAAGATGCAGGCATAGAGAAGGGAGTGTTGGACTAGCATGTATTAAAGAAAAAGGAACATTAACATTGCAGATCTCTCTCAGAAAGACTAAAACACTAACAAATACAAGTCGTTGCACGTTTGCTTTAAACTAGTGTAATTCTTTTTCACATTTTTAGATTAAACATCATTTTGTATACCAAACATTACAGTGCTGTTTATCTCCTCCAACCATGCAAAAAATAGTTAAAAACGTGCCACTTCTGCCCACAAATAGATACGACCAATTCCCCTATATACCTTCCAAAATCAGGATTTGAAATGAGAAAAATAGAAGTATCCTCCTTTAAAAGCTTCATAAAGGAATTTAGACACAAAAGCTGCCACTTAAAACCAAGATGATACAATTTACAGATTTTTACAGAAAGTTCACATTAAGTCAACTGACACCTCTCTCAGCCTTATCATTTGAAAGGCCGTATCCTGTAAGGTCAGAAAGTGATGACTTTAAAAGGATCCTGAACTTACAGCTCCCATCTATAGGAGTAGGAACAGCAGGTGTCCAGAAATTTTGAAATACTTGGTGTTTAACACCTTCAACTCACATAAAGAATTTGAGGCACTCAGCAATTCACAGGATCAAGCCTTACAGAGGTAGAAGAGATTTAACTGGTGCAGTAATTCACAGAAGTTTCTAGAGAGCTGCCAGACAACTTTCTGAAAATCTTCAAGTGTGAATCACACTTCAATGCTTGCCTGTGAAGACACATGAACTGCAATATATCTGGGACCAAAGCAGCATCCAAATAAAATTGCTGCTTGGTTACGAACTGAGCATCTCTACTGTAAAACTGATGAAGAATTAAGACAATTTAATGTTCTGCAAATGAGTAGGGACAGCAATCACAGCACGTGCGCCTTTCACTTTTGCTCTCTCGACTGACATACCCACCCCACTTTCCTCATTCCTCTGAGTGTTTCTGATAAACAGCATTGCAAGTTGGTTAAAAAAAAAAAATGTACAAGAGAGAGTTCTGTTGGTCACCTATTTACACGTGGCATCACTCCACAAGGAGCTTGATCTCATTGGCTAGTAGCTGGTTCATGTTGAAGAGAGCCCCCGGGAGCTTGGTGAGCAACTCTCTCTCCGTGGTCTCAGGGTCGCTGTCGACAGAGCTGGAGCTAGCACTCATGTTGTCGACAGCGGCCCCAGCTGGAGGGCCCAGCTCTGGCTCGCTAGTCTCGCTGGCCGTGGACACCACGGAGAGCAAGGACATGCGCCGCGTCAAGCGGCCGGGGGCCAGCAGGGAAGCGGCATAGTCCGCTATGATACCAGCTACGTCTAAATTACAAGCCTTGTCAAAGGCAATGAAACCTACATTTGCATTGGCCTCGCAGACGTAGAATGAGCCGTCGTCCTTCATCAGCAGGTCAATGCCGCACACATCCATGCCCAGGATGTTTGACACTTGGACTGCCAACTGCTTGCCTTGTTCGCTCAGCGAGCACATCATTCCTACGCCACCTGGAAAAAGTGAAAAGAACTTGCTGTCTGCACTCAGGTCACAAGTGGCTGACATCCTTCTCAACCGGGCAGTGCTTTTTGACTGGGAAGCTTCAAAGTCAGCTTGCAAGCACACTGCTGATGACTTAGAAAGCGATTCCTTTCCACAGTGACTACTAATGAACTTGATGCCACACCAGGATTTCAAAAGATTATGACTTGTTTAAACAGTTAAGCGATGGCTTTTTAGTCAACAAAAAATACACATTTTTATGATCCCAGGATATTAAAAAAAATGAACTAACAAACCACCCTTGTTCCTTCTAATGTAGAGGCTTTCCTTACGTGTTTGTACGAGATCATAAGAAATATTTCAGCAAAATTAAACCTAGAGCTCTTGATAAGACTACAACTCTAACTGTAGATATGATTGAGGGGAATGGGGATTAAGACATTAGCATCTGCTCACATACCTCTCAACTTCCCATCACAGGTTACTGTCTCTAAAGCAAGAATTAGGGAACTTTTGTGTCTGAACCTCAGCTCATCAGGCTCACAGTCCACCAACCAAGTATTAACTGGCTCAAGCTTCATCTATCACAATACTTAAATTGAAAAATAACCCAAATAATAAGAAACAACAAAAAAAAAAGCAGAAAAACCTTTCAGACTATATTTCCTCTGCATGAAGTAGCAGCTGAAATCTCTTAGGCATTTTGACCAACCAAAACTGCACTATACATGAACACATTTTATCCCATCCCTGCTCAAGCATGTTTCCTCCTTTTACCTTCAGAAACCCTCAAGTCCAACACCAAAACCTATGCAGAATCTCAGCTCTGAGCATGCTACAATCAATACAGTAACCTGCTCTTTCACCCAGATATGGTCTTTGTGGGAAGAGGTAGCAGGGAGGAACCTGACAGACTTAAGGCAGCACAGAAAATGCACAGCGCAATCCAACTGTTTATTGCCTTCAAGGGCTTCCTCACTTAACATTTTCTTCTACTCTCTTGCCAAATGACTAACTCCTCCACCTCCCTTAAGTGTTGCTTTTGTCTTCCTTCATTTTCTGATCCTCTCAACAGGATGAAACAAATGATAACGTGGCATTAGCATCAAACTGCCATTACCATATCAGCTGCTCCATTTGTGTTCTAGAACTTTCCCCGGCTTGTCATCATCCCATCTACCAAACACTTTGAGCAAAGATCATCTCTTCTTCTGTGTTTGCTCAACATGCTTCTAACTTAATCCTCATTCTTGTGTTTCCCCTTTAAACCCCCAGCAGTAAGCACAATTAATACAAAATAACACCCGCAGCTTATTTCAGTCAGCTTTGTGATTTTTCAACTGGGTTGAAATATTCTGATCAAAACTATGAGCAATGCTTTTCCTACCAAGTGAGCAGTTACTCTGCATCCTCCCATCTGTCGAGCAGCGGAGCATGGTGCCCACCACACGGCCTCCCACTACGATGACGCGCACATCCTTGCCATGGGACTCCTTAACGTATTTTTGAAATAAGTACGGGGCATCATGACGGATCAAATGGCTTAGGTCTGCCAAATGGTGCTTGTCTCGTGCCAGGAACACAGCTTTACCTGTATGGAGGAAAGAACATCGGGGTGTTGAAAGCAGCTACCCATCTGAGCTGCATCAATGATTCAGCACATGAAAGTAAAACCTCTGACCAGCACACTGCCCATTCTCAGAGGCCCCATCTGTAGCTTGTATCAATTTACAAATTCTTCCATGGACAACAGTGTTCCACTGATTCAGTGCTTTTAAGTGTTCAAGTACTGACAGAGCTGAGGAGACATGAGTTTAAAAAAAAAAGAAAAAGAAAGAAGCGAGGAAAAAGAAAAAATCTTTAGACAAAGGAGATGGTCTTGCAGTTTCAACTTCTTTCGGAACAAGTCCTTAGTGAGAGGAAAAAAAGGAAGAAATACTTAAAGAGCAGCCAACATGTAATTAATAACAATTTTGTTCATCCGAGAGGACAGGACCCACAGCCTACAGCTTTGACACACAGGAACCAACAACATGAAACTGCTGAACGCTGGGCAAGTAAGAACTCTGAAGTCTCTGGTGCGCCACTGCAGAACCACACACTTCTCTGTTAGGAAGTTCCTGAGAGCTGCTCTTCGCAATACTTAAAAGGGCTCAAAACTCCAGAATGAGGTCTGCAGTGGAACAACTACATTCAGAGGAAAACGTTCCACTCCACACTATCCAAGAAAATTTAGCAGAAGATTCCACAAGACATAAAATGGATGGATTATCTTTCAACTGAAAAAAAACCCTCTTGACAAATCACTGTATTTTCTGCAAGCAAACATCTCTAGGACTTGGATTTTTTAACCTAAAATAAGTAATTTCATTTCCTTTTCGTTTTAGGGCACACCAAAGACTTCTCTGTTCTTTTCCAGTTGTATTCACACTGGTTAAAGTCACCCCTGAACTACTTTCTATCCAATTTCCAGTCTCACAAGACTGCATCTCTTTCCATCTTTGCCTACATTTCCCAGCTTCTTTTCTCCTTTCTTAAGGACTCTATGTCATATTATGTTTTGCAATAAGGCTGCACACTTTCTCTTGAAGCAGAACTGTCATTCAATTCTGTTATGGTGCTAACAGAGTACAAACATAAATTGATAAACTGCCCTCCTTAAGTAAGAGAACAGAAATGCAGCAGTAGCAGGACTAAGATAAATAATGTGCAAATAATTCCACCAAGTGTTTCTATGCCCTACTAGAGCAGTCTCTGTTTAGACAGAATTTAAGGTCTCCATAACACAGAACACTGCTTGAGGATCATGGACTTTCTCATTACAGAGACATGAGAACGTAAGCTTAAAATTCACAAAAAGAAAAAACTTCCATGTCCTTTCTCCCACTCCAAACTTTAACTCTTCTACAGGCAATTAATAATCCTGCTGTATTCCTGAAATGGAAAAGGAAGAATGATGCCTTGGAGAGAAACTACTTAGTTCTTGCAAATTATCCAGCATCATGACATCTTGGTAAAACCAGGATTGGCTCATTTACTGCAGCAGCAGACTGTGCAGAAAATTGGCCTAGAACAGAATGACTTTTATTCATCAGCCAGTACCTATGACCACATTTGCCTATTTATTTTAAACATCATTTGCAAATGGCTGCTCTTCAATTAATTTGAAAAAGTTTCCCCAACTCTCTTAATGTGAAAAGCTATGTACTTTGCATAAATTTGCATTAAAATGCCTGGAATTTAAAGTGCTCTAAAGCAAACCTTGTAAACAGATTTACAGGAATCCTGGCTAAAAAAGGGAGAAGAAAATCAATAGCTGAAACTATAAAATTATTTCATAGGTCTTCACTAGAGGCAGTGTTAAGTCAAATCCACTGTCTCAGATATTCCACAGCTGTCAAATCGAGCTTGCTGCAACATCAAATTCCACCTCGGCTTTAGAGCTCCACCCACACTTTAAAGCCACACTAACAGGTATTGCTGCTAACAGCAGCAGGTCTTCCTCATCCCCAGCATTTTGCTCTCTTCCATTTCATCAACACAAGCCTTTGTGCGAGTAAGTGCTAAGTCATGTAAGGAATTAATCTGAGATCCATTTGGCATCAGTTCCTGATCCATTTACTACATGGCCACAGAAGCACTCATGCCAGCAGAAGAGAAGCATCAGAGCAGCAGAGAGTGAGAGCAAACTGATGGACAGAAAGAAAGAAGTGATATCCTCTAGTTATGATTTTGTTTGAAGTAACTCCTGGTTTTGTGCCTTAACTTTATTTTTAGTCTCTTTATAGAACAAGTACTTATTAAATTTGTTTTAAAGTATATTAGAAACAGAGCAACTTCCTGTGCAAATAACCTCTGTAATTGATTTAAACACGGCTTCCTTTAGTAACCACTATTTAACACTAAATTAGGTTGATATTTGTTTTATATTCAACATTTAAAACATAAGACTGGTAACAGAGCAATTTAATCTGAACCTGAGGTAATACCACCAGCTCTGTCAGAGGTATTTTTCTGAAAAACGGAAATTCAGTTTTGCAAACAATACATAAGATTTTAATTAAATCAGAATCCTAATTATAGACAAAGTCGAGTAGGAAAGAAGTCACTGAATGAACTGAGATTTCATTTCTTAGGCCTATTTAAAAACACCCCTAAAATCCATGTAGGCTTCTTTCAACTTCACGAAGGCCAGACCTCCCATTATTCCAGTTCAAAGCTTTCCTCATAGAAGTCACTAATGCACCATAATTCTGAATGCTTTGCCCCCTGCCTTTGCAAGACTGGGTTCTACTAAAACTGTTTCCCAGTGCTGCAGCCTATGCAACATTCAGCACTCAAGAGTGGTAGAATTTAGATGAATTGGAAAGAAGTCCAACATCTAACACATCTTCTTAACTATCACTCCTTGATGAGACAAAATGTTGGAGTGCTGCTCAGAATACTCCTTGCCCTCACCCCTGACCTCACACCCACCTCGATGACCCCGCGTGTTCTTCACCACCATAGGGAACTCCAGCACTTCCGCCTCATCAATCATTTTGGAAAAATTCTCATGACCACCTGGCAAAAAGAAAACCAACAACATTATGTGCCACCAGTCTGCTGTGGCCAAATTTGGGACGTACTTGCCATACATTCCTCCCACCCTTACAGCTTAGATAATGCAGAGAAGTCATCAGTTAAGGAGGACCTTGGTCATGGAGCATGATCAGACTTTGAAGGTGTTTGTGATGTGGGGGATACTAAGACCTACTTCCTTTTGAATTGAAGACACAAATTGACAAAGGCCGCTTGATCACAATCCCAAAAGACTCACTCTAATCTTCCAAATCCAAATGCCCCAATTCTACCATCTTGTTCCAGTTTATCACTTCTACTTTATCAACTTCCATCTTTTCAAATGTCTAACAGCAAAACAGAAGACACATAACACTAGTAATAGTTCCATCCAAACTACTAACCAGGAAAGCAACATGGAACACAATGACAAGGCATAATGCACAGAGCAGCAGCAACCCAGACCTTGTCAGTCCACCTCCCCTCTTCTCAAGGCTTAAGTCTCCTGTACCTCATTCTGCCTATATCCTGAAGTAGTACTTCAACCTTTTAATCTCATTGCATCTGTAAGGACCTTAGAGAGTAGCTTTTAATGGCCATTCACACAATTATGGTTGATACTTCAAGGTTACTTGAGTTCAATTCAAAGAAGGCTGACCACAGCACAAGAAATACAGACGAGAAAAGTCAGCAGACAAAGGGATGAGCCCCCTCTAACACATCATGCAGTAAAGTGCAGAAGTCAAGCCAAGACACAAAGTCACAAAGCCAGCAGCAGCCATCACAACCCTGCCATGGAGTTTAATGCATGTCATGGAGTAACATGTCAGCCAGCACACTGCTTTACTTGGCAAAGTCAGCTCTCTCACTGACAACTTGATACTTGGAGTTTAAAAAAACAAAAAGAAAAAAGAAGAGAAAAAAAGAAAGTCATGCTTCTGTCAAATTCCAGAGGCAGACACTAACAGAAGTGGGAAGGAGTAATGACCAAAGAGGTATGTTCTGCAACTATTAAGCATCATTCCTGGTCTCCCCTTCCACCCAAAAATTAAAAACTCATTCCTTTCTCAACAAGTTAAAACAACCACATGTATAAAGAAAGGGTATGTTTCTTCTCAAATGTGTTTTCACGGTAATTGATAGAAAGCCACAGTTTTGTCAATTTTTTTTCTCATTTTGTCACATTCCCATTACAAAAGCCTATTGATGCAATCACACAAAAGGGAGGAAAGCGCTGGTATTCCCAGAAGGAACAGAAGGTTGAGAGGTATCTACAGTTCTTTAACAGACTGTAATTAAAAGCAGAAATAGCATCGGGGTAGCTCAGACAAATGGTTCCTCTAATCTAGCACTCTGTCAGGAAACAGAGATACCAGAGATTCCAGAGGCAGGCACGATGAACAATAATTAACTGTCTTGGTGGGAAACAAAGCCTAAACTATTGTTAAAAGATGAACACAAGGGCTCATACTCCTTGCTACTCTTGTCCTTTCACAAAAACTGATGTATTTGCAGACACTTGTATTCATATAGGAGTTTAATCTACTTTCACGTTGTACCAAAGTCTAGTTTTCTGTAGTACTTATGACATTAGTACCCCAAGCTCTTGTCTGCTGTTTTGGGCAATTGGAAAAGAACAGAAAGTATTATAGCACTAACAGCCCAAGTCAGTTGCTTGGAAGGCTGAGGTACAGTTCAAGTACTCTTTTCAAAGCATCAAAAGCCAATCAACAAGGACAAAACCAGAATCTGGGTATCACAACTTTAATTTCCTTTTTGGTTACTCAACACTTAGCTGTGGAACTGGACTCATGCTGCTTAAATTTCTATGGATTTCCAAAACTTACACCTTTTGCACTGCAAAAGCACAAGTTGTCTAAGCAACTATGCTACCCTTTTGATCCAACAGCCTTACCATATGAAAAAGTGTCTGGAAGAGGCACACCATGGCCAGCAAGTTCTTGAAATGTCCAGAACTTGTTGACACAGTTGAGGATGGCTTGAGGACGATTCATCAATCGACAGCCCATCTTCTCTAGGTGGCGAAGGACTGTGATGTCGCTGTCACTCTGGACCCAAGGTGTTGGCACACGCACAACCACTACTTGTGGGTAAGCAGTAATGAGCTCCCCTTTCACCCGGAGACCTAAAGAAGGAAGAGAGAAAACATCCCAGTCTTAAGTCACAAGGTCTCCAAGAGAAGGTAAACAGGCACAGCAATACTGCACTATCTGTGATCAGAGACATACCAGACTTCAGCACTGAGTGTTAAAACAGCACAACTCTCCCTAGCACGCATCTTGTCAGCTGTGCTGTTTCACTCATGTCACTCTTAACTCACTTAAAACTAGGACCAAGCAAAAACCAGACTTAATTAGGGCACACAGTCTTGGGCTCCTTCCCAGGGTGACGGACATTTGTTTACAGGTTGACACTCCACCCTTTCTACAGTGTAAGCTGTACACTACACTCACATCAGCTGTATCAACAGCTCTGAAGGTTCCTGCCTCCTAGCGCTTGTTCTTGCCTACAGGATGCAGTTCATACCTTTCCCAGTCCCAGCTGTATTGATCCCTCTCTTTGTGGCACCACGTTACACAACATATTGCCAAAGTAACAGAGACTAGATAGGATCCTTAAAAAAACACAAAAAACCAGCAGTATTTTTAACAGGTCATTTCAACAATCTGATTTGTATTAAATTAAGTAGTCAGAAATAATTTTATCAGCTAACAGGGAAGCACCCTGTGACAAAGGCAGGACCTAGAAGGAAAGCCAGCTTTGCCACAAAGATCAATATATTACTTAATCACGACCCATAGTTTTACAGGCTAATTCTCTGAAAAGGAAACACTGGAAGACGAGCTGCAGGAATAGGCATACGACAGGACTGGACAGGAAGGCATCAAGCTCAATGGAGACGGTCTGGCATCTGAAGACGGGAAAAGACAAACAAGGTTTGATATTTACTTTATTTGCCTTATGTTCAAAGCAAAAACTTATGACTTCAGCTAAAAAATACTCAGCTCACGCTGCTGTCAGCACCTTAAGGGTTAAAAAAATAAAAAACAAAAAAAAGTGAGCTGAGAAATCACAGTGCATCTGCATCTTGTGCCTACCAAAGGCCACCTGTAACTTGTGAGATCTAACCACATTTTATTACCTGATTACTGTATTCCAAAGATGCTACATTACAAATACAGACTTATATCTACTCTGCATGAAGGCACTGATTGCCAAGCTATATATTTCATTACAAGGTGCATTAGAATTAATTGGGGGAGAATTGGGATGGAGGGGGGAGAGAAGAAGGGGAAGTTTCCCCCATTCTGTACTTCCCTTTTTTTCTTTCCTTCTCCCAACCGGGATGTATTTTAGACCTAGCATTAAACATAATGAAGCAACCACCTAACTCCCAAAATGGAAGTTGAAATGTGCTGCCCAGTCCTCAGGAGAACACAGAACCATATTCTGGAAAGGCCAAAACAGAGCCACATCCAATACAAATCCCTTCTTCCAATTCCCACAGCCATAATTGCACAGAGATGAGCAAACATAAGCAGACGGGTGCTCTGGCTGCTCACCTCATTAGCACCAAGCACTGCCGCATTGCAGCTGACATGACTCGCGTGTTTAAGCAAGCAGGCTTCAGACACACACACACACCCCATTTTAGAGAGGCATCTCAAGCAAGATTAAAAACAAGACACTGCTACAAACCTAAGCAGACTGTGAACAGCACAAATGGACTACCATCTCCTTTAGCCAGAAAAGGAGTACAGATTCAGCAAGCAGAGGATTTTTTTACTTATTAGTCGTATTTCACCTTACACATGTCTTTTTCCATTTAGGTGCATGCCCAATTACACCCACTTTTTGCCAATGTAATTGCATGCACATCCTGATCCACATGCAAGCTGTGCAACAATCATTCTAAAAAGGACCGCATTTTCTACACAGCCCCAAATTGCCACCGTCATCTGTGTTGTGAACCAAAACGACATAGTTTTCCAATTCATAATCTCTCAGTCTATTTTGTTGTTTTGCTTTAAAGTCACGCCACATGCTGAAGTTTTGCACCATGGATTCTGAAAAAGAAAAACAGCAGTTTGAGGAGATGTGTTTGTCTCACCCGGAATTCTTCTGAGAGTACCTGTGTTAGACTTGACTATCAGACTGCTGTAAATTCAGCCAGGTCACCATCACCCCTGAAGTGACTTTGGAAGTACAAAGATGTTATCAACAGAACAGTCTGAGGTTTTGTTTCAGATTCAGTCATATTCTCTGGTCTGGATACTGTTCTCCCCAGAACAAAATTTCTCTCCCCTTACAGAAGGCAGTTTGCAAACAAAAGAAGAGCTATTCAATGAAATGTATAATTTGAATCACTACTACTGATATGCACCATAAAAATTAGCTGCAGTCTCCCAGCAACATAGCAACAGAAACAGCTTTATTGCAGTAAAAAGGAGAGGCAGATTCTGCCATTTTGGAACAAGCGTGCATTCAGCATCTGAGACCCATCAGTTAACAATCAGGTTAATGGTCATTATTGCCAAGTGGGCTGATAAAATAATAGTTATTCACTATAATGCACTGAAAGCAGCAACACAAAAGATACTAATGCGTACGGGTAATTTTTTTCCCAAAGAATTGATTAATGAATGCAAAGAAAAATAAGGGGAAAAAAGACTACAGAGATGTTGGTAATGGTTAAGAGGTAATTTTTTTTTTCTTTTAAAATCATAGATTGTGCTAAGTTGAAAGGGACCCACAAGGCTCATCATGTCCAACTCCTATCATTGCACAGAACAGCCCAAATAATCACACCCTGTACCCAGGAGCATTGTCCAAACACTTCCTGAACTCTGTCAGGCTTGGTGCTGTGACCACTTTCCTGGGGAGCCTGTTCCAATGCCCAGACTCCCTCAGTGTGAAAAACCTTCTTCTAATATTCAACCTAAACCTCCCCTGACTCAGCTTCAGGCCATTTCCTCGAGTCCTGTCACTGGTCACCTCAGAGAAGAGATCAGTGCCTGCCGCTCTGCTTCCCCTCATGAGGAAGCTACAGACCACTCAAGGTCTTCCCTCAGCCTCCTCTTCTCCAGGCTGAACAAACCAAGTGACCTTTTTCACAGTTTGGCACACAAAACTGCACACAGCTGAGATGAACCCTCTTTTCTTTGCGGTTATAGGATCATTCTGATCCCAAAACAGAAAAGCAGGTTACACTCACTGTTGCCTGTGGACAATGAACTGACCTCACAAATACACAGAAAGCAGACACTCAGATCATACAGAAATACCTTGACAAATAACAAGTTAATCCATTCATTGACATTTTCAGGGGATGCCCATGACATTGCAGACACGGCAAAGAGACAGCTATACAGTCCTTTGAATTACCCATAATATAAACTAGGAAAGGAAAATTCAAGCTTATCCAATACTGTGAACTTTCTCATCATATAACAACCATTTTACCAGAGCCTGAGGAACAATTTTTTAGGTTATTGCAAAATATTTGGTGTTGTTTGGTTCTATGATATAAAGACTCATGAGTTGGAATATCACACAGTAAAAACAGACGTAAACCCTGCTCTTCAACAAGACCTATTCTTTCACTCAGTTCCAGCTGTCTTTGTTCTTCCTCTGCAAGACAAAATTCTCCAAAATGGAACATGGTACACCTATAACATTAGACACCAATCATCACAGTATTCAGACAAAGTACAAAAGGAATTTTTGCAATGTGAACTGTAATCACCTGGGAATAAACCTCACCAGTTACACCATACCCCTCAAAGTCAGAGCCTCAAGTTTCTCTCAAAAACAGCTCAAAGTAGCACATGATAGAACTGAGTGGGTAAATGCATGATTATTCATCAGTTGGCCCAGCCACTCCTCCTGCTTTTCACTCCCAAAGAACAGCAGGCAAGCTTAAAATGCAAAGCAGCTGGTCTCTGCTAAAAAGGATTATTTTGACCCAAAAGGTAGAAGCCACCACATGGACCTGTGAAAACCACAGAAAACAGACAGAGCATTAAACTGTACTAAAGACAGAAGAAAGAGGCAGAGATGACTACTGCTATTACCTGTGAAATCAGAAGATGTGCATCTACACCCTTAGAAAGTTCCTGAGACACTAACCTCCAGCACAGCAGAGCCTATTCACACAGTAAGATACTCAGGACGACAGCTGTCTCTCAGAAACCTGATTTAGTACAATTTAGGGTAGACAAACACTCCCTGGACAAACATACTCACATGGATGGCTAAAAAGGATCAAGATTTCAAGAAACTGTGTATGGCTTCTGAACATTTTAATTCAAATCCAAGCAGTATTTAAAATTGCTTACATTTTTGAAACTTATTATATCCCATTTGAGCCTACACAAATCCCTTCCAATCTCTACAAGACTCATTCATCAGCAGATTAGTAACTACTGCAAAGCAGTATCTCATGTCCAGTTTGCATGTTACAAACAACTGTACTTTTAGTTGAAACAATGCAAGTGCTTTCACAGAAAAAATGTTGTTTCAGAAGGTAAGTCTACAAACTCCACGACTGCAAGGACATCAAAAATATTTTCAGATGTTTTATATATCTTGATTTAGCAAACATCAGGCACTTTTAACACAGATTAAACCTCAGTAATATTAAATAAATTTATAAAAGGCGAAGCTTTTCACTGTGCCTGGAGACAGCTGGTGCACTGCCTTGCTACTCATGGAAGCTCATGACCTATCAAATCCATTTCTGACCAAACAGATCAGAAGAGCAGGAATGAGGAACAAAAGGTGCATCTTTCAAATTGACTTCCTGTATATATTTCACAGAATTTGTCTAAGAATTGTGTGGCTATGAGATGTTCCCAAACGTGACAACACAGTTAATGTACATGTAATCCACGTACAACGTGGGTAACTATGCAAAAAATCCTTACTCTGTGGCCTCAGCTGCCACAGGCTGCCATTGTAACTTCAGTGACTTTTTGCCTCTAGCAAAACCCCCCCAAAAAACATCAGGTCTCTGAAAAACGTAAGTAAAACAAAGCAGGAAAAAAGTGTTTCAGTATTCAGACAGATCCAGGATGTGGAATACTTTTTCTAACAGGCATACCAGCATATAAGTGGTTGGTCATC